CGCTCGTGTTCCTCTGACACTACCAAAGTCGCTTGCAGGTGAATCGGTCCACGGTGGGGGTTCTTGAGGGAGTTGAACTCGTGCAGGGATAAAGGGAATTATTCAATTTAGGAAATGCTATCATCACGGCTACTGCCGGGCAACAGATGATGACACTTATCGATATCAATTCACGAGTACTGGTGTTTTTGTGGAGGATATCGAGGATGCCGTTCGATCAGGAGCTCGACGTTTGGAATCGAACGCTTTCGATTTAATCGAGCCCTACGTCGAACGTTCCGTGATCGAAGCCTCAGGGAAATCTGGGCCGAACGTGATCGAAGCCATTGAGCGAGTTGAACCGACAAACCGAAAGCTTCTCGTACGCGCATGCAGCGAATGGAGGCGCGGCCACGAGAGCAGCCGGCATTTGCTCAAAGAGTCGTTACAGTAATTACGTGCCACCCAATGCACGATAAGTGTTCGCAGAGGTCTTTCACAAGGGTTTTAGTTGTTCTCTTCTTCAGCACCCCGAAACCGGGTGTCTGGTTTCACGACTCCGGGCCGCGACCGCCACCAGCAGCGCTTCCACTACTTCAGAAGTAATCGATCGAGGTGCGAGTCTCTAGAGCGGACCACCCAGCCGTTTGGTTGTGCGCCTTCATTTCACCCGATCTCGTGCCTCGACAGTGTGGAATATACCGGCGGCGGCGGCGGCTTCAATTTCTCTCTCCCTCCGCTCCGGCGTCAACTAGGGACGTGAGGTGTCCTGAGAAGGAGCCAACAGTGTTCGCACCCAACGAAGAAAAAAATGAAGGCAGCAGGATTCGTGGCTCCGAGAGTCTCACCAGTAAGTGGGGAGTCGACACCCCACGGCGGACCGAAGCGTGACCGTCTCTTGGGCTCGAGGGCGTGGAGATCGTCTACATCAGCCTCATTATCATCATCATCATCACGAACGAACACTTTTCACTTTGTCTCTCGCCTCACTTCGTTTTATCTCTCGTTGACACTCTCGCTCCTGGGAGTCGGGATTCACAATGAGGAGGCGTTCGCAACGAGGAGCAGCTCGTCGACTTTGGTATCATCATTAATTCGATTGCATGCTCTTAGGCTGTTGCAGAGCTTCCCGAGCTGTTCTCCACGCTGTACAGTATCGCCCCGATTTTCCGGAAGCGAAATTCTCACGATGGTTGGAACCGCTCAGAACCGTGCGACTTACGTAAAGCTCAACGTGGGTAGTTTCGCCGAACGTCGCGTAGGCAGAGCATTGCCCACGGATATTCCTCACCCATCCGGGCTCCCGTCCGGGCTCACTCAGTCAGAGCAGAATCGTTACACTCTCGCAGGAACCCCGTCTCGTCCTAATTTCATGTAATGCGAGACCTAATCCGATTCGTTCATAAGGCGTGTTCCGATACACCTCGGCTTGCTTGAATAGCGCCCCGTCGACGCAGTTGCGTCGCTACGCATCTCGATGCGGTCGCAGCTAGCAGCTATTGAAATAATTATGTCATTGAGCTCGAGGGAGGAAGTTAATCAATTCGGTTACGAGATTCGGCTTAGACTATCGCGAGCCGCTCACGCGGAAAAACCACCAGCGGAGGAGTTCTCCGGTCTCTGAAATTTTCTTCACGAGGTCGAGCTTGGCTCTCAGGTTTCGACGCTCCTTACTGACTTCAAGTCAGAGTTCAGCTTGCGTTGCGGCTCTCGATTAGCCGCGATGAATCTGAAATTCGTCGGCTCGTGTGAAGCAGAACATACGCGCATAGACAGACACACTCACATGCGGCCGGAGATAGACATGCTGTGAAAAACGAGCTCCCTGGGGTTCAGGTTCGGGTGTCGTCGTGCATCGAGAGCGATTGTGCGCAAGTCAGCCGGTAGGGACAATGACGACGGCGGAGACGACGACTATGGAGACGAAACAAGATGACAACGAGTCGTTGTGCCGCTATTAGAGAAGCTGGAACCAACCCTCGGAAGCCCTCGGACACGTGACCCGGCTCCTCGGAAGTTTAATGAGGACGCGATGAAGCCTGTTGCCTCCTGCACCTCCTTCTCCTCTCGCGAACGTTCGCGAAACCTCCTCCATACCTCCACCCTTAGCTTCCATACACCGAAACTCGGATCTGAGCGAGCTACGATGGCAACGTTCTCCGATCGAAGCGATGCCCGGGCAGGAAATTTCCCCGCTGGTCGCGTGGTCGAATTCGATTTTCCAATACCGACCTGGCAATACACTGCACTAATCCTCCTGTGCTGGAAGCCACAAAGCGGTTTTCTTTTCCGCTGTTTGAGAGGTTGAAGTCGATTCTCGAGCATTCACTCGACTTGAACGACTTTCGGACATTGTTGAGGATTTGGACAATGGTTTTGCGATGTCCGAGAATTTAATATTGCTTTTTAGTACTGCTCTTCGTAGGCGTTTGTGTGGTCATTTGTGTGAAGGAGGGCTGGGGGCGTGGGTGGCTGGACCGCCGAACTTCGACGGATCTCGAATGGTTTGAAATCGAAAAAAAAGCTCCCTTTGTCAAAGCGGAGGGAGAGAGTGAGCGCATTTCTCCAGCTCAACTGAACCTCCGCGTCGGGCTCAGACGCCGGATTGGCAGTTGTGCAATACGCTTCTTTGGAACCAACCGATTTCTACAAATCATTCATATTCCGAGCGGAATCGATTGTCGAGCTTTCGCGAGGACTTAGCCGAGCCTCGGCAGATGAAGAACGCTTGTCGGAGCTCCGAGTTCCGCCTAAAAGGAGGAGAGAACCACACACATCTTGGGAGGACATTGTTGCGAAGACATTTCCCCGATCAGATTTGCTCCCGGTGTCAAACAGGTGTAGAATGGCACCTGCCGTTAGTGTTTGATGGAGCCGAATGGAACGATATGATCCCTAGCGAAAGTCGCGAGTCATTGCTCCCGACCTGAAAAAGTCAATCTGGCGAAGTGGTCAACGAGTCGCATTCGACCAGTGCGCTCTTTCGTAGGCTGCGCTCCCTCATTCCCTCGATGGTTTCCGCTGCTTCGAGGGCCTCTCTGCCTCTACTCGCTTGAAAAGCGGGGACGAGAGCAGCGTCGTTTATACGACGTGCCTACGGGAGTGTGTCCAATAATGCGAATGGAAAAGTCAATACCTTCGTCGTACGAAACGGCTCTCCGCAGCTAAGGAGTCCGTCATAAATTCCCTCGGGTAGGATTCATCCACTGCATTTATGGTTTTGAGAATATGTCCTTATCGGGGAGAAGTAAATCATTCGAATCATTGGAGAGAAGTCGAGAATTATTCGCCTTACCCCAATGTTGACTACCCAGTGGAATACCTCGAGGGTTCCTCATTTCGGAGTAAAAAATTCAAGATGCTCGGCAGTTGCTCTGATTTCATGGGGTAGTGCTCTCTCTCCGCGCTGTGTCTGGGACAATGACGCCCGTGGATGAGATGTGACTTCCCTGCTCATATCATCTCTCTGGTTCTCGCCCAGCGCTCGATATGGATGTCTGTAGGTCCGCGCGTCCCCAAGAGTGAGCCCGCTTATTAGTACCCAGTTAGACATTTGGAATGCCCGGAATGTGCTCTCTCCTTAATCAACTCGGAACCTATTGAAATGGCAGGCAGGTTAGCAGCGCGAAGTTATGAACGTTCGAACGAACGGAGCGTTGTTTCCCCTCGCACCTCTCCCTCGCTCCTGAATAGGAAATCGGGGAAACGCTCTACTTAGATTCCTTCCTTCGCCCAGGACGCAGTTCCACGATGGGGAATCAATTGAGAATATCGGTATAGCGTATTATAGGAACTCGATGCGAGAACACGGCTGGAAATCGGGATCCTGAACGGAGTGATCGTCGGTCAGGAGGCTTCACGAACGAAAAAGTTCACGTCTGCTGATGGCCCGCGCCGGCGGAATCCTGATCTGTCGGAAGTATTCCAGTGACGTTGCTCAAGCTCTCCACATCGATATTGGGGCGTCATAAGTGCCATATCTCTTTCATCCTCTCAGTCATTGGAATTCCTCTAAAATTAGCACTTTCCCGCTGGCGGGCGGGCAGGCTGGCGGGCTGACTCCCTTCCATACACTGACTGTCCACGAGGAGCATTGTTCACCCGGAGAAATTGTTCATTGTCTTGCGCTTTCCAAGCCGGGAGGGGAGACGGCCTGTGTTTATTGAAGTCGGGATAAGAACGAAAGGCATTCCTCGATTAACAATGCCTATCGAGCCCGAGCTGGGAGCCGGGACTCGTTCCTTGAGGAAAGGGAAGACGAGCGGCCGAGCAAGCGGCTGAGGATGTCCGAGCGAGGTGCCGTTGAGGATAGCAGGAAGGAAAACAGAGAGTCGCTCGCTCCGATTGCCTCATAGTTCATCCGAAGAGTGTCGAATCTCGTTATGAATTGACGGACATTGTCAATTCGTCCCTACTCCGTGCGATCGCTGCGATGCTGGCCGAATCTACTTAGTTGTCGATTCGGCCAGTCGGTCGCCTATTTTCTTGGCTGGCTGGCCGGTCGCTCTGTCGCTCTTCAGCTCAGTGATTTGAACGACGAGAGCAGAAATCAAGATCGATGTTCCAATGAGTGTGGTAATCGGAGATGTGACCGATGCTGCCACCGCTGGTGCTTCTAGTGGCTAGCCGCGATCGGCATTACTAAATTGAGTTATGTCCCGTTTTATCGTCGCATCTCGTGTAACGAGCAGTCGGCCGGCACAACTTCCACTCAGGCCACTGATGGGTGCAGATTAAGTGCCTCCCTTCCTTGTCTTCTTCTGATTCCCTTCCCATGCTTGTCGAGTCCCCGACACGGTGACGGCCAGTTCCTGCGCACGACGGACGAAGTTCGGAATTCCCAGTGCTGGGAATCGTCCTCCGAAGACTCTCGAATCGATCCAATGGCACTGTGTGGTTCCGCTGAATGCTCGCTAGAACGTCGTTGGGGAAACTGTCTTGAGGTTCGGAGTTTATTCTGATAGGCGGAGACGTTTGGGTCTCTCATTCCACACGAAATATGAAGATTGAACTCCTTGCAGGTCTCGCAGAGTTGCGGCTTACTAATGCAAATCCCGCTGTTGGAGCGGGTCCCGGAGCCTTTGAGGACGACTCGAATCAAAGAGGAGGCAAGAAACAGAAAAAGAAGAGGAGACACCGGTAAGTTGGAAGCGGAAAGGAGTACGTGCTCATCGAATCCAATGCACGGAAGCCTCAGCTAGTGCCGAGAGAGAAACTCCGAATAATTCGAGCTATCGATGACTTTTCAGAACGATATTCACCAGTTACCAGTTAGAAGAGCTGGAAAAAGCGTTTAAAGATGCTCACTACCCAGATGTCTACGCCCGTGAGATGCTCTCGTTGAAAACAGATCTACCCGAAGATAGAATTCAAGTGAGTACTCGTGGTACGATGGACGTCGCAGTTCTTGCAGCTCCCCCTCGGTCCCTCCGGATCGTTCGGATGTCACGGTTCTCAATGCGGAGACACAATCATCTCGAATCCAAGAGCGCCGTGAGCTCGTCCTGGAGGGCGCGCTGAGCTCTCCCCAAAGATTTTCGAAATTGCCGCAGTAATATGTGCCTGGCGTTCCCCGCCCCGCAATGTGATGCGCATGCAAATCCGCAAAGAGCAGAACACGAGAGCAGGCAAGACCTCGCGAGCATAGCGGACCCAGGGTTCGAGATTTGAAAACCAAACAAAATTATCCCATTCAGTGGGTTTTCCCTGCGACTGACCGAGCGGTCGATCTGTGACATGCGCCCAGAGCGGATGATATTCGTATTTTTTCTTCACTGTCTTGCTCCCGTTCTCTACCCCCCGAAACCCCTCCCCCGCTGACAACAACAACAACAAGATTAACTTGTGAACTGGACCTCGACTTGACTTGTTCCTCGATTGGGCGACAAGCGCAGAGAGGGAGGCGCGGTTGGGTGCTCAGGCGACTGGTGGTCGCTTGCCTTCGCAGACCGGGTGCAAATGGCATGATGGACTGCAATAGCTTCTTCACTCGGTCAAGCTGAGATGAGGCTTTCTGCTGGGATGACGACGACAACACAAAAGCAAATTGGGTTAGCCGACTGAGTTTCGACAAGGGCATCGGTGGCACTTTTATCCCTCAAGCGTCAGCAAGACGCTAAACGCTCTCGACAAGCGACTCACCAGCCAGCCGAGCTGAGAACCCAGAGCGGGGCAAGACGCTCTGAGCTTGCGGCGATGACCTGCCACGACCATCGACTTCCCTGAATTGCGTTGATCTGCGAATTCAGTTTTTCAGAGATTCCGGGAAGCTTGGAGACGGCCCGTGAGTGGCGTAATTCTTCCTCGCGATCTTTGTTGTTCTCGCCGCAAGACGCTTGGCGGTGATCCTGGACATTTAGATGGGACAGACAGATGGGAATTTCGGGAGATTGATGAGGCCAATGTGCAGCGAATTTCGAGGGACCATATCTCGTGCGGCTTGCGCTACACTTGTGTATATGTTCTCGAGGCGGGCTACTTTCATTCGTATGGGAGCTTAAGCAAGTCGTTGTGTCGAGTGAAAAGAAATCTGAGTCACTTGATGCGATCAGATCCGATTAGTTGCCTCTGTCCCTTGTCTAGTCGATGTCTTTCTTCCTCATCGTCTCACTACATTTGTTCATCCATCCGTCCGTCCTCTCGCCCACCCGCTCGCTCTTTCGTCCTCCATCGGCTCGCCTGTCTGCCTATAAGTCCCGCTCCGACTGGGTGCCTTCATCGTTCCTGTCGAGGGAGTTGGCGCTAGTGGATTCATGGAGTGGTCAAGAGGGGCACCCAGCTCTCACTTGACGCAGCTCGGTGGATTTGAGGCAGAGGTCAAGAAAATCCGTCTCGTCTCCAGCCGCATCCCAGGAAATCTGCCTATCACGCAGTGCATTGCGAGTTAAGTCTTGTTGCAATTGTCAACCGAGCGTGTCTCGCAAACGCCAATTGAATTATCAGCAAATTAAAAGCTCCCTTTCCTCGCGTCTGCTTCTCCCGTCGTCGTTGCTCCGTGCGCTCTCCAGGGATACGTTGGCCGGGAGCGTTCAGAGAACAGTCTCTAATTGAGATTGAAATTAACCGCCAAACAAGGATGGCGAGATGGATGGACGGACAGGCGGCGGGTAAGCAGGCTTGCCTCCCCGGACGACGACGACGACGGTGCTCGGACAAGATGGCCTCGCAACACTCGGTCATCACACGCTCCGTTGAGCAGAGAACATTCTCTGAAGTTGAAGCTGCTCGACCGATGTCCAGGGGGCATCGGTCTCCAAGTGGTTGTCGTTTCCGCTGCCGTGGCAGCCTGGTCCTCGTCTGCGGGGCATTGGGAATTAAGGAATTAACAAACCGCGTTCATTGGCGAAGCGTCAATCAAGATTGAGCGATGACGCCTCGTTTCGTTCTGGAGGCGGCATCCCAAATCGTTATCCCATTAGCGACCGGGAATAACAAGTCAGAGGAGGGAGAAGGCCGATACTATTCCTTCCCGAGACGGATACCCCGAAGCATTTGAACCGAGGAGCTCAATGTGGGGGAAATTCCCGACTCCGGATTTCACGAAGTTCGGTCGCGACGGGACTCGCGAGCCTCGTGTTTCTCGATGCGCGGTATAACGCGGCGGAATATCAGTAAATGACGCTTCTTAATCAGAAACTAATTGATCCGAGAGCCGGCTCCCAAAGTCCCGCACGTGATCCTGGGCTCCATATTCCTCGGATACGGGTCGAGCTCCACAGGATGTCACACAAAAGAATCTGCGACGAAGTATCAAGTAGCTTGGCTTGGTTTGACAAAATCACGCTTGACTCCATCGGGGCTGCAGGTCGGCACGATGCTACGTGCTCGTCACAAAAGACATTTCCCGAGCAACTGTAGCGGATAATTTTGATTGAAGCAAACCGCAGACAAGCCTTTGACGACGGAGGCTCTTATTCTCCTCAACCGTACCTCCCGTTCAACGTAGCCTTCTCTCAAGAATAATTTACATTCGAATTCATGTACGGCGATCCCTGACTGCGCTCGGGAGGAAATCAGATTTTCTCTTGCGGGGCCGCATGCTCTCGGAGAAGATCTCGGTGAATTATTCCTTCGGCGGTGTTTGCCTGGCAGGAGAGGACGGACAGATTCTGCGAAAGATTGGGGGGAACTTTTCGGCTTTGACTGCTTTTCGCATGGCCTACTTCTAAGCACCCGATCGTTCCAGGTATGGTTCCAGAATCGGCGCGCAAAATGGCGCAAGACTGAAAAGTGTTGGGGGAAGGCGACCATAATGGCCGAATACGGTTTATACGGAGCTATGGTCCGACACTCCCTACCCTTACCCGAAGGCATACTCAAGGGCGCGAAGGAGGGCGACGTAACGAACACCGCGCCGTGGCTCTTAGGTGAGTTGTGTTATATTACTAATCATGCGAGATGCGCGAAATATTCTCGATAGGGAATATTTCGAGGCGAGAGGTTTCCCGAGTTGATACTAGGCGATACACACTCGGGGACGACATGAAGAATGGGCGATATCCAAAAAAGAAAACATCGATCCTCGGACGGCCGCAGGTATCTCCTGCCGCTCTGTCGATAGGTATCGGTCACGGTGATGGTCCCGCTCGCCGGACAGAGGTGAATCAATTGTTCAGATATCGAGCAGCGGCGACCAAACGAAAGTCCACGAGGCATTATGCATTATTCATGAAGTGTCGTGGCGCCTATCAACGAGCGAGCTGGGCGACTCGATTAGTAAGTCAGACACCCAAGAGCAACTCTACGCCCTCAGGAATATCAAGCAATCATATCATCACCCTGGCCGAGTAAATCGAGCGACACTAAATATTAAAGTCGACGAGAGAATCTTGGAAGACCCCGAGCAGGAGCGGTCGGGATCGCCTCGGGGCGAAACCATGGTCTGAAAGCTCCGTCCGAGAGCAACAGATCAAGAGAAATTCCCACCGGGACTCGCATCGTTATGGTTGAGATCGGAAAATACCCAGTTCATGTCTATTTACCTGACTGCATTTGCGGGCGATTCGCGATTCCGAACAAACTCCGTGAAGTATCGAAACCCGTTGCCCTACCTGATTTGAGTACATGCTGGCTCACCGTCTAAATCTATAGTAAATCCCGTCTGGGACACGATGGAAGAAGGTCGTAGGCGTGTGGGAGGAACTCTGATGTCTCATGGCCGACGAAGTATGAGGATAAGTTCTTCGCTCTTGGAGTGGATGACTGACTGACCGACCGACTGTGACTAGCATGCTGGCTCGTTTGCTAGGTAGGCATTAGCTGCTACTTAACATCGTATCAGCCGGCTCGAGGGTGTGGTAACTGCGCTCCACCCAGGTATGATACGCATATTAAACTCATGGAGAAGTCCCGCATACAAGAGTTGGTACAGCCAAGCCGCCACGGCCGCCGCTGCGGAACGAGTGAGGGGTAAAAGTGAGAGTGAATGAGTGTCTGGCTGGCTCACTGGCTGCCTGCCCGAGTCGTAGGACTACGTCACCACGATCCATTCCGCTAAGAATCTATTACCAGTCAGAGTCCCGACACCTCCCGAAACACTCGTGATCTCACTGACAAATAGCGCCAACACCAGCCCACCACGGCGAAAACCACGAATCGAGCCTCATAGCCGTGAGGCAGAACAGCCACGGACAAAACCCATCCCGCTTCGTATGACCTCCATACAGAATAAGTTTGACCAACTGATAAGCAGCACGGCGAACAGGTCCTACAACCTGACGCATCCGTCGAGAGTTCATATCTTGAGAGCGTAGGCATCCCGAAATGGGTGGCGGCGACGGACGGCTGGTCTACGCAACGCCGAAACTCCGGTGTCTCAGCTCTCCTGAGACATATTCCACCTATTTCACCTCGCGCCGCCATCGATGTGTTTACTCGTCTATTTAGTTCTCATGTGTAGCATTTGAACCTGTCTCGTGATCAGCGTACACAAGCGAAGTGTTCCCCTCAATCTGTCACCTCAGCGAGTTGAGTTCCATAAGTTGAGAGTCCACACCGATGAAATGTGTCACGAGATGGCGGAACGCGCGAGCTCTTGGCCTACGAATAGAATTGATTGGTATAGGATCGGATTGACTTGGTCAACAAGTCTGATCTCGAATTTTTTCTCAATTCGAATTGGACGTGCGAAACTCGATCAGTCGACACCACGCGCTTCCCTGCGACAACCCTTTCCTCTTCTATCCAGGGACTTTCCCGCATTTACCCTGACCCCGTCATAGCCACCTGAGAAGAGACTGCATCAAATTGATGGACACAGATTAATTAAAGAGCTAACTCAATTTCCAAACACCGCCGGTTTGCAGCCGACTGAGTGGAGAACTTACAAGAGGGAGCGACCTGTTTCACTGTCCTCCCGCTCCTCCCTGTTCTCTTCATTTCTTCGGAGATTATGGGATTTCGTGCCGCCCGCGCTCTCAGCAGCCACTCGGAGAGATAAGTGATTTGGGCCGCTTCTCCAGTGTCTTTGTCTTCTCACCTCCTTTTTCTCGGCTCAAGAAATGAAAGTTCTCTCTTACCGAGCGACAGCTTGAGTCGCACGTGTTCTGCGTGGGTGAGAGACCCGGTGGAAATTTCGTAGATACCGGCTCCCGCTTAGACGCACGACTGATCGAGGAGCATGTAGTTTCTCTTCCGGTCCAGCAGAAACAAGTTGTACTTACTTAACGTGTAGCCACGCTTAATAAAATTGCTTGCTTGCCTGGTCGGCTGCGGTCGGACAAGAAGTGGGTGTTTTATGATCCAGTCTGAGAGGGAGACCGGAACGCCCTCGGCCTCATATTAGGCATTATACCGGAACGACGGATACGAGAGTCGTCGCTATTACTAATGATGACCACCATCGCTCATCAGTTATGCAGTGTAATGATGGATGAATTTACTGCCGACGGAGACCGCTAAATAGAGCAGCAGATATACGTTAACATTTGTGCCCAATGAATTGGCAGATGAGTTGACGGGCTTGGGCGCTCAGGCCTGATGGTCTAGTCCTTTGCGAGAAAATAGCGCTAATCGCTCCTGGGGCGTTCAGGGACCCTCGCGAAATCGTACTCGGAACCTGAAGTACGCTGAGAGCCTGAGCTCAAATTGGGAATTTCTTCTCGACTCGCCCTAACCGAAGTTCTCGTTTCCTCTCGCCAGGCATGCACCGCAAGTCTCTCGAAGCTGCTGAGAAGCTGAAGGACGGCACGGTGAGCGAAGCTTCCTCGACTGGACACGAGACATCGGAGAGATGTTCTTCGCCGTCTAATACCACGACGGCAGCGAGCCCCGTGACAGTGACAGCAAACGTTCAACGCGATATCCAGAGCAGCGCAGCTAATCTGAAGAACGCGGAGCCGAACAGCGAGGATGCCACAGACCTCAGGACATCGAATACCATTTCAACGCACGGGGCAGCTCATCACATGCTCCATCCGGGATTCCATTCAAGTCAACTTTTGCGGCAGTGTCGGAGCAATGGAGACGGGGACGATGAAGATGACGACGAGAGGCTGAACGGTACGTTCGAATATCACTCCTCTGAGCGAAGGCCGGTGTCTGGGCCGTGCTCCTCCGAAATACGGCCGAGTGGGAGATTGCCCTCTCTGATTTGAGCTCTCGAACGCTAACTCTGATAGGGTTTCTCAGCTATTGGAATTTCCCCCGGGTCCAATGTATCTTATATTCGTTTTCGGAAGGAGGGCAGATAAGAATAACAATTGAGCGCATCCCCCTGTAAAATGATTTGTTCCGCGCTTTACGGTCAGATTGTAAAATATCGGCCAAAGTCAAGGCTCATCTATCTCCTTCTGGTCGGGAGGAATTCGGCGGTGCAGAGTCTGGAGAATGTCCCCGAATCCACAAGTTCGGATCGGAGCTAGGTGTCCCGATGCCATGTGACCGGATAGTGCCAAGACCATGCATCGTTCTCATGGAGATCCTTTCCTTCCAGAAGAGGCTACCGATTTATGCGTAAAACGTGAGCCCGATGTGGACAGCAAGCAGTCTGTGGCGCAGAGCGTGCGGCTGGCGTCTTCGTCACCCCATCAAACCCAAGCTGTCGGGAGCCCGGAATCAAAACCTCGTTTACATCACTCGATCGATGCGTTGTTTCGGGGCCAGTTCAGAGCGACGGAAAAACATGGAGATCAAGCGAGCGTATAGAGTCACTTTCTCGAACACACGGGGGAGTATCCTCTACAAGACGACAAGCTCTCCATGGCCGCCACGCCGGCCGAGACAGCTCGTGTACACAGCAATAGGAAATTGGTGGCGATTCGTGCCGCCTTTCCACTGGAACCGTTCCGAACGATTTGAGAGATGGTCATCCGAACAAGCGATCGAAGAACTCGGTCTCACCAGTGAGACCGAAGCGAAAAGCTCTGTTCCAGCGAGAATGGTTTCCAACGGAGGGAGAATGACCCAGTCACTCCTCGGAAGGAACAAATGACGACGGAAATGTAACTGGATGAATATAACGAAGCTCTTCCACTGGATGACAGTGAACATCGTTCGGTGTCGCTCTACGGTGATTTCAAGTCTCAACTCAACGTCACAGCATCGGGTCGATAGTTTTCCTCCAGCGACCGCGATGCTCTAGTGTAGGTAGATGTCCCGCTCGCTAGTTGATTCACTTCACCAAGTTTCCTCGATCCGTCTACCTCTCTCTCTTGCCACCCCGAAGTTCACCCTAGACCTGTAGTATTTTTTCCTCTAATTATCAAATGATGATTTCCCAATCCCGTCTTCTCAATCTCGGGGTTCTCCAGAGCCGGTGACGAGCTATAGCTTCTGCCGGATGACGAATCACTCCTAGGTAAATAGCTTCTCTGGAAGGAACTCGTTGTGGTGTAAATACTTGAGGAGGGACAACAGTCAGTATCTCCACAATTTCTATTACCTCGGTGATCATAGATGAATGGGTAACATGGATGATTACGATATTGACCGGAAACCATTGAATTTTTTTCTGCCATGGTGACGAAAAAAATGATTGGGAATTACCTAGTATCAACTATTCAATCCTCAGAAGGAGCGCTAATAAAGGATCTGATACAGTCAATGTAGGGTATTCTGGTTCGACTTGATCCTGGTCTAGACGTTCTAAGTCTGGTCATTTTTCCCGTAAAATCTCCTTATTTCGGAGCAAAGATTCCCGCGTGCGTGCATGCATGCATCCATCGAGCGTTTTCCTCGGCGTCATTCGCGCTCGTAGCGTTTGTTGTTGGAGATCATCATCATATAAACGACGCTGCAGATAAGAAATCGACATGGTCTATTTTTACGAGCGGTCTACTGGGAATAACTCGCTGATTCGCTTTCTAGAAACGATAGGGCTCGGTGTAGAATGTGGTCACAGTAATATATTGGGATCGGATTTCTCGAGGGTCTGGGGCGAGCAATCGACGGTAGCTCGACATGAAGTTAAGAATGTCCCGTTTCCTATCATCTTCCGCGGACCGGATCTTTCGCACCGCCAGGAGTGGTCTCGAGTCACATACTGATTCCCCACGAATGTAGATGTATTTCGAGCTGTTTCCCCGCAGAGTATTGGATTTCGGCGTCGTAGTCACTTCGCCGGATCTTCGGTGAATCTGATAAACTTCGAGAAATTCGATGCATTGCATGTGGATACTTTCCTCGAGTCAAGCAATACAGTCGAGTGGAATGACGAGTACGCAGGAGAACCAACCAAAAGCGTTTGAGATACTACCTGGAAGGAGCGGTTCCTTTAAGGTGCCGCGGCGAGATGAGTGAAAACTTATCAGCAATCTACCTATGCTCGGCCATCGGCGGGAAAGGGGGAAAGTTGGATACCTCAAAACTCCAGCCGACTTCCCGAATGAACATTTTCTCGCGGAGATCGCAGCTCGGAATATATCTCTCAGGTGGCCTCGCGTGTTCCGGTTCCATATACAGATCGCTAGATCTCGACGTAGTACATCGGACCTCGGTAAGCTCCCCCATCTAATGTTTTTGAGCTGTTTCCTGGATCTGATCCGAAGCAGTACAGCGAATAATTTTTCGCGGTTTCAAGGAACAATGTGTTGGAATCCAGTTGAGATCTAAGATCCATGGGCGGGATTGAGGTCCGATTCAAATGTATGATAGTCAATAGAGCCCCACGGATGCTTTCGCCTCTCCCTCCTCTGCAATCGGGGAGGCGGGACTCCTAGACGCTCTACGTTAGGCGGATCGGTAGCGTCACCAATCGATGATTACCTCGGAATCGGGAAGGCCAGACAATGCCGTGAGGGATTTCCCCCGAGCGACTAGATTTCTTCGCGCTCCGGAGGAGCTTCTTAGTCGAATATGCATTCCCTCCTCGATTCGGAGGGATCCTGACACTCGAGGGAGCAATCGATGTCGCGTCGAACCCAGCGACCTTTAGAACCATCACTTTTGTTGCATGGACCGCTCGACGAGAAGAGTTGTCGTCAGTGCATTTTCGCGCTGCGCACTCGAGAGGTGTCCGAAGGTGCAAAACGATAGCTTTCTTTTTTGGGCCACTCCGCCAATCTATCGAAGCTTCCAGACTACAAAGATGATAGCATGAGAGAGCCCTCACATGATCACCTGTCTCTTGACTTGAGGGTGAATAGCCCGCTGGGTCATCGATTCCTAGGTTCCTCCGCTGCGACAATGTTCCTTCCAGTATCACAATTATCACAATCCGCAGGCTCCGATCAGGACTTATCGCAGATCGCACCGCAATGTCCTTCTCATCTGAGATCCACTTGACACTCGACAAACTGGAGCGAATGGAGAGCATTAGCTACGCAAGTGTGAGCTCCGTCAGCCCGGCATCTTCGAAATATTCACTGGCGAAAGGTAAGGCACAAGGGAATGACACTATGTTGGTGAGATACCGCTTTGCTTGGAGCCCTCCTCCATCATACTCATGGCGGAACTTGCGGTTTCAGAGAAGAAACCGTCTCATCTGGTCCGACTAGTCGCGAATATCCTGGCTCTGTTCGTCATGTGCGGAATCGTGTGTTTGTGCTTTGTCTTCTTCTCCAGGAAGTCTTTTTTCGCGCTCAGCTCGTGAAGCTCTGCGGAGAACTCAATTTCCATCGACGTCCAGGTGTCTAAGCAGTGTACACAAGGATCCAAAAACAAGTGCACAATAGCTTGTAAATCGACATAAGAATAATGCATACTGTATAGTCTCTCCTGATTATCATCGGTTATTATCGGATCATTATCATTATCTTCGAGGATTGAATGTTCTTACACCTTAATACAAACGAGAATAAAAACTGTGCCACGACCATACGCGTTTCCTCACCGTAGATTCGCACATGTGCCCCGAAAAATCCAGCGCGAGGTCTCCGGGGCATCGATGAGAATGCTTCAGAGACATTTCACATTATCACTTCTATAGAAGTCGCTTCCGGGAACTCGCTCAAGCTTTCTGATAATCCACTCGAAAGAAGTCTCATTCGAACACGGAGAGCGATCCGTAGAGCGAGAGTTCTCGCGCCGAAGACCGGCTTCCGTGTTGTGTCCTCAGGTGGCCGGAGATAGGACTCGTTTCTGCAGAATCGAGGTTGATCGAAGGGGTGAGCTGTCAGATCAAAGGGCTCGATGGGTTAATTTGTGACAAAGAAATACCGCGGCGGGGTAGACGCTTCCTCGGACTCTCTCAACATCAGTTCAGATCATGATCTGGACTTTATTTGATCGCATCTATTTGTATTATTGCTTTGTGATGTCGTATTTGACTTCGGGATAAGACGATTCGTACAAGCGCTCTACAATAGCTCAGCCAGTTCGACGGTAGACTACGAAATGTTGGCCAAACGAGGGTCTTTGGACTTTCACGCGGTTCGGATCTCAGGCTTGGAATTTTGCGCGAACCGAGCTCTTGATCGGAAACTCTTCATAAGACGCGGATTCGTCGGCGCGGCGACGACCCCTCGCGCGCCGAAAAGAAGGTATGTGGTCTGAAGTATGAATAATTTTCCGAGGCAGTCTGCGAACCGCTAGGCATGATGGAATCTTCTGAATATTATATAATATTGATATGAATCGTGGATATCCGAAGACGACAAAATCGAGCCCGTCATCCGTTGCTCCCGAGACACCGATGCTGAGCGACGTCTGGTTTTCTCCTTGAGGAAGTCCGAATGTTCGGATAGGATTTCCGTCCTTTATTTTGATTGAACCGTGTGATCTAGACGCTCTGCAAGTAAGAAGCATCTCCATTTCTTGCTTGCTTCCATTTTATCTCGGGAATGAGCGGGAGGCTCGAATCGGCCGGTTTCCGAACCGAGGGCACGTCACATTAGCCAGACCTGAGAGCGAGGCGGAAACGGCACTGATAGACTACATTGAAGGAGTCTCGGATGCTGAACATCCTCCTTGTCTAGCCGTTGATGGACAAGGATTATCCGATTGCTCCGCGTAGGCGCCTTGAAGACGCAGCCTCCGCTCTCAGGCATCGGCTCCCTATAGCCGGACTGAGCTCAACCAAAGGAATCGCCGACTAACGGAATCTCCGCGGTGTTCACGAACACCCATTAAGACGAGGTCGCTGAATGAGCTGCGGCCTTCTTCCCAGGCTCGATCGTTGATCCATGGAAGATGAATTCTGATTCATCGAAACCAGCAGAAATCACTCGAAACTTGCAATGATCCTCATCGATGTGCGAACGGCTCCCCGGGTAATAAACGGAGAGTGGCCTTCGGCTCCCTTATCACATTCGTGGGGATGGACGGATTAGATTCGGATTTTTCGGAACCCCATCCGTGAACGCATCGACCGAATTCTACTCCTGGTCTTGCATAAATGGTTGTTGCCATGGGTGAATCTGAGCTTGAGCCGGAGCAGGCGCTACGCTGACAACGACTTGAGCGGGGTGTACGAGGAACGGAAGGGGAGCAGACATGAACGATCAAGACGAGTCGATTCCGAAATTTTGCATCCGACAAATGAAGTTTTGTGCCCGCCAAAGTCTCGAAAGCGGGCCTTAGAATACATCATGAGAACCAATCGACTTCACGACTATCCTGTCTGGCCAGGAAATCGAATCAGAACAGGGAGGGAAGTCAAACCCGACATCACAAAATGACTTTATTTCACTTATGTATGTACATTATTCTCCCGATGGAGCTCCACACAAGCTTTGGTATAGCACCGACTTCACTTTATCGGAAGATCTCCCAAATGCGACAGGTTCTCTCCTCAAACAATTGCACGCGCGCATAACCTCTCGTGAAAGCAAATTGAGCTTTAATTGTCGAAATCACTCGGTTTTCTCATCGGCGACGCCGAAGGAGTATCTCCATTGGAGGACGTGGCCGTAGAGATAAGAGAAGAGGAAGTGTACGAAGCAGAAGATGCAATTCAGCGCCACAAACAGATGCGGGAAGCGTTTCGGAGGCATGAACAAAAACTCGATCGCATGCAGGAGGAGTGCGACCAATAGAGAAGCGCTCATCTGAAAATCAGAGATGCTACTCAGCCGGGAGCTGGTTATCAATTCCATCTACCTACTGTCATCGATTGTGAATGGTAGATAATAACTCGGCGACATCTCCGGAAAATTTCATGATCGTTGATCGATCCGGAACTCACCAATATACGAAGCAAATAGTATTGATTCCATCGTCGGTTCGAGAGATTCTCGATGTGACTTTTATAAATGATGAAGAAACTCTGGAGGACGAGAGCAAAGTAGGCAGGCAGAACGCCGTCCTTCTGCAGCAGGGGGACAAGGCTGAATGAAGCAACTCCAGTGAAGTACCACACGAATTCAGGATTTTGCGCCGTGACCAGTAACAATGCTCTGATGCAGGAAAGATATGTGTGTTATAGTTATAAGCACGAATGATTCTGGAGACGGAATGGCTGAGTCGAGGACTATGGAACTCACGTTAGCGGGAACAGGATTGACTTTTCATGAACCATGTACGAGAACAGGTAGAAAGCCATCGATGTGTTGAACTGTAATGTAACAAAATTTCCCACCGCAGGACTCGGGAGGTAAAACATTTTGATTCTTGCAGGTCAAAATCTCGAGAAAAACCCACCAGGGCGAATTTGAAATTCATCATCTTGTGGTGAGGGTTATCGGTGCGGCAAAGCAACATGAACCAAGAGGGGAGCGAGGCGAAGAATGTTGACAGGAGAGAGAATTGCACGAGTCGCTCTTGTGAGAATACCTTCTTGAACTTGAGCACGAGCGAGCCGACGTACCAAAAATTCGATACCTTATCCTGGAATCGAGGAGTAGTTTCGAAACGCTACTTGGGTAGCGAAACGGATCCATCGATACCGATTATTTCGTCGGTTGTGGAGGCAGATTCCAAAGCGTCACGGACATACCTCATAGATTCCCCTGTTGAAAGGGAATATCCTCTGGATAACGTTGAGAGCGGTTCCATTGATGAGGAAAGGCGCCCAGAGAATACCGAAAGTCGCGACCACCGCCAAGGATATGCTCATGAATCGGGTGATATGAGGAGGTGAGACGCAGGCCTTCAACATGTGCAAGAATACTGGAACCGCATAGTACAGCGCAATGTGCTTGAAGTTCAGTGCTAAACTGAAGGCGATGGCGGCAGGGATATATCGTTCATTTTTGACGAGCGCGACGAAGGCCACGAATAGTCCCAGACATACACTGTTGTATCTGAGGGGAGAGCGGATTCAAGGGCCATCCGGTCGGTGAGCCAAATAATATCAGAGGAACATATGCTGAAGCTCCGAAAACACAAATCTAAACATACTGGAAGTGTGCATGGTCGATGAGGATCAGAACTGGATTCATCAGAAATACCCACACGGTTATATCCTGGAAGGAGGTCGGAAATCATTTATAGCAAGTGAAACGCGGGAAATTGAAAAACCGGCAATTTCCTTCGCGCAGAGCTCCGGGATATTCGCCCAGGGTTCCGAGCGAGGAGAAAACAAGAATACCTTCTCAATAACTGAGCTGCTCCCGGATGCGTAGTACAGGACAGCTGGGAGGAAAGTCAAGATCTCTGAGACTAATACAGAGTATCTCATGAAGCGCTTGTGTTCGTGACTCTCATGGCCTCTAGATGAATTCAACTTAGTCCACGATGGATTGAGAGATGCCGATCTGAAATCGATCACCCTTGAGAAAGGCACTTGGCACTTCGAAGATAAGTTTGAACCCTGTGTGGAGCGTCCCGAGCATGCCGAAGTTTCTATGGTCATTTCTGCCACCGGCGAATTTCAGACGCTTACATTTTCCCACACAGCCAGCTATGGTAGGCTGTCAGGGGAGGATAGTCCAGACCCCAGTACTGGAGATCATTCCTTGGAGTCTGCACGTACCACTCTTTCATTGGTAATTCCGTGGTTACCTGCGGCCGTTGCCCAATTAATCAATGCAAGGTTAAAAAGGAGCTTCACTAGCACGATGACTTCGGGAGCTCCACTCCACCTCAGAGATATATACAATGTAGGTATGAAAGCACAATTATAGTACCGCCATCCAGTGTCGTTGAGCTTCGTAATCCCCGTACATAGGGGGCTTGCTCTGCCCAGAATGCGGGAAGGTCATAGTCGAAAGTCGCAGTATGAGCCCCCACATAACAGCGGTCATCAAGGAAGCGTCGAACATCATCCTCGCCTTAAGTACAATTCCGGACTCCGATGAACTTCAAGGACGACAGGACTTTGAATGATCTAGCCTGAAAAAAACAGGGAAAGGACTCCGGGAACTGACTTGACTCAATCATCTGCCGGAACTCGTGGGCTCGTTCAAACGATATATTGATTATGACTATAATCGAGAATAATCCGTCCCGCTCGAGACGATCCATGCAAGCAGCGACCGAGACGCGACTAGCCATCTCGGTGTGATTCGTATCAGAGGTGATGCTCAGGTGTTAGGGCATAACCCTGAAACCGCAACCCCTAAATTGATATCACACAGCGCCACAAAGCAAGTGGAGCTCCTCTGCGGCTTCTTCATCAACCCTTGAGGTCGCTCGCGCTACCCCGAGAGCCACACACCACACATGGGGCTCAAGACGCCTTCAGGCTTTTGTGTCGCGAATCTCCGCAGAGCTGAGTCGCCTGACACGCTGAAACATGTTGAGACCAGACGAGACTCCTCTGGATGGAATTATCAAACTCAATTCAGAGCTTCCTCCGGATCACATACTCGAAATGAGTTGGGAACTCATGTGACTCCGAATCAATCGGGATCGCATCGATACCCTTCCGCTGGGGTCCGCCCGACCGGCCGACCTTACGCAGCTCCCCCCCAATACAATTTCGTTCTGAGATCCCTCAGCAAGCCTCTGGCGACAATTTGACTTCTCGGGTTTTACAATTGCTTTTCGAGGGTTGCCTGATCACCTCAGACTATCGAGGGAACGCAAGCGAATACATACAATGGAACATAGACTCTCGATGCCCTCGTCGGAGCGGCTTTGATTCTTCGGTGAATGAAAGACGAAGAGCAACGGATGACGAGAAGGAAGTAGGTCTTCGCGCGGGGTCTCGCACATCCCGTCACTCTCCCGAGTCGGGTCCCTCGAGATGGCCCGATTTGTCAGCGTGATCAGCAGTGTATTCCGATGCGCAGCTCTACGATCGAGGGGATATGCCGCCGGCAAAGCGATGAGCCAGAAAATCCGCGGCGGAATTTTTTGGTGAGCCCGGTATGCTCACCGTCGATCTCCCGAGTCACAGAGTCATATAAAATCGATTATGATTTTGGGAAGAGAGAGAGACTCACGCGGCTATCAGACGAATCGAAGATATGAGAATATTTACATTACTACAGCACACATGTGGCACTCGGCGGCGGATACGTCAGAAGTTCTTTTTTTCTAGGAATATTTTCGCCGACAGCAGACGTAACGAGCAGACGACGAACCGCGCGCTTACCCGACTCGCTGCTGCCGCCATGTGGTGCGCGAGCGGTGGGATCATTCCGTGGAGGGCTGCGTGCCTGATGCATCGCAGTCTGTGCGACCGCGGAGTCGGAGTGCTAGCGGGTTGCAGGCTCGTGGCCGGGCGATATTTTTGGCGAGGAATTGGACGCCGCGCCGTCTGCTACGGCAGGCACTGTGTGTGTTGTTTGTGCGTGGCGGCACGGGAGAGGGCCGCGCTTCGCTCCTCTCCAGAAGGGGCCCATGCCTCTCCCCATCACTGACGACGCGGTCGGTTCAGATTCAAGACCGCCGCAACAAGCAAGAACAGTCGCCGCTCGACTCGAAGATTGCTTTCTATCATCACAGACGTACGTCGTCAGTCAAGAGCGACGCCGCGTATACTGTGAACGTGAAATTCTTAAGCAGGAGCGAGCTCAGAAAGTCTGCTCAACTCCACCTCACCCAGATCAGCTGCTCATCGAAAAGAAACAACAAGTTGGCGTCGTCGTCCGCAAACGGCTGTGGCCGAAATCAACACTCAAGCTCCTCTTCGGTGCGACGTAGATCGCGACGGAATTCAAACAGTGACTTCTTCCTCGGGGAACTCCTCTTCTGGAGGTTCCGTGTGTGGACTGGAGTGCGAAAATCGGATCCTTCGGCAGTGATTCTCGTTTCTACGTATCTCTGACCAATCCGTGCCCGGATTATGTGCGGTATCGGAGTCTGTGTTTTCTCGAAGGCGTGCTCAGGATCCCATCTCTTAGTAAGTTCCCCGTTCCACTAAGGATTTCATTAGCAGTTGAGGCTCGACTCGGGAGCTCGGCAGCAGCCTGGAGATGAGGATCATGAGGTTTCGGGAGTTCATGGCGCTATTGCCCTTCTTGAGTTTCGGCAGTGCAGCCAGTGTTCTAACGAGTTCGTCGTGTACGTTTGCGCGCCTACTGGCGAAAGTTCCAAATTTCAAGAGCGAACCCTTCGAAGGATTGTTCAACGGTGACATGGTCTTGATAAAGTGCGACTACGGTTTCGAACCGATGAACTCCTCAGCCATTGCCTCGTGCGAGGAAGGGGCATGGGAAGTACCCGCGGATTTTCAGTGCGTTTCGCAAGGATTTTGTCGGCCCCCTTTCAAGCCGGGACCCAGCATCAAAATACTACGAACCCGATTCGATCACCGGAGCAAGAACGATCCCTACAAGAACATCTATCACGATGGCGAGCAAGTAATAGTCAAGTGCAAGGATAAGTTGGGATCGAAGAACAGCTCGTTCACTCAGTCGTTCAGGTGCATACGAGGCGCTTGGGATCCCGACATCGTGCCACCGTGTGACAGCGTGCCCTGTCCACCGCTTCCACCTCTCGAGAACGGATTATTCAGGATCGTGTCAGATGGAGTCGCGGGTCCTGAGTGCCACATCGGTTTCCAGCATAGAGGAAGCAAGAGCTTGACTTGTCTCAATGGGAATTGGTCAGTGAAACCCGACCAAGAGTGGCCTTCGTGCTTCCGGAACGAAGTGACGAAAACACCCAGAACGCCACTCGAGCAGCTGCAGTGGGTGGCTCTCGGAGCGGGGATCCTCGTCCTCGTCGCGGGGGTGGCTCTCACGCTGTTCTGTTATCTTCGTAAAGATTCTCCAAAGAGGAATCGTTTGATGCACAGCACGTCGCATGTCGACGAGCTCCTGCATCTGCGACGACCGAAGCCAATCGTAGTTCCCGATCCCGTGTCTCAAACACAGGTTCATTATACTCACGATCGGAAGCCCGTCCCAGTCACATCGCTATAGCCCGAACGGTAAGTCCATTAATTTAATCTTGTTCAGGTACATGGTCGCTGCTGTGGGACTTCTCGCTGTGGAAGGCTTATTCATGCCGTCCAAGATTCATGTGTGGTGTGTTTCAATCAGTGTGGATAAGACCAGTTCCGGAGGAACGATGACGACCGGCGTAATGGCTGAGCAATCCGTCACAAGGTTGCCGAGAACGGTGGTATTGTTGTTGAATCTTTGGCTTGCAACAATGCGCCTAGCGGTCTAACTGAGTCTGAGTGAGCGCGCGATCACGCATCATGCTGATGATAGAAGTGTTGCTGCTTTTAACTGTCTGAATGGAAATGCATACGACAAGGTTCTCTTTGTTTAGTGACATGTCATGGTGACCATTGCTGCCAAGATCTCCCTTCTGCCTCGAGCTTATCGGGTTCCGAAGAGCACTTTTGTGTTGACGTTCTGGTGGTTGTACGCGTCCGCCGCCCGCCACTACTCCAGATGTACTTTCGTAGAGTGTCGCCGTAGGCGAGAGGAGGAAAGGAGTCCGCAGAACTCAACCGACCGCGAACCATCAGTACCCGTCACATTTCCCCGTAGCTCATTCCACTATTTACAAATAAGCAGATCGTGTTTCACAACGGTTCCTGTGGAATCGCCACTAGCCCCGCTAGTGAGACGTCATCCAATCGACCACTAAGGCGCTTATTATCCGCTCGCCTGGACTTCCCAGGTGTTGGATCATGACTCTGTCCCTGGTCGAGCCATGTTCGTCATGAGAATAACTTCAGCTGAGTGAGACTTTTCCGGGGCCACTGGAAAGTTATAGGTATGCGAACGTTATGCGAACCCCGCGAAAGGTCCCGACAGAGACGTGTTTGTTTTCACGGGTGCGAAAAAGGGACAAAAGCCTGGCCGCCGGTGGACCTCGTACCTAGAGAATGCGCTCCATGATATCGATTATTCAAAGAAAAGAGAAAACAATGTCCCAACGTCCTCGACCCGATATCCAACAGGGCCGATCGGCGCACCAGCCGAACATTCAGTTAGTCAGGCGGTCGGTCAGTCAGACGGTGGGTCCGTCGAAACGTCCGAAAGTCAGCCGGGCACTCGATGCGTAAGGAGTGTCACCTTCGGTGTACGTTTTGCATCTTCATGCTATCGCAGGTGCGAGGATCGCAAACGATAGAAGCCGTCCTCCCTTATTCCACGATGATGCTGCTCGCTGCTTGTTTATATTGACGGGTGCCGTTATCTTCCCTCGCGCATTCAAATAACAGCTAATGGGATTTGATTCCTTTTCTGTTAGCCTCGATGGGTCGGAGACGTCTCCTCAATCGGGCACAGAATTCAGGGGAAGTGCTCCGTAGCGAATGGCTGTGTCGAGCTGTTGCTCAGGCATGGTCGCTCCAGCCCGTCGACGTGGGGTGGGTTACCGGGAAATTGCAACTCACGGACTGGTTCGACTGACGTCGTTCCGTCTGCCGTAATGGCACCAGGCAACGACGTTGACGCTGTTGCTGCTGCTGCTGGTGGCATCAGACGTTTCCTTTGCTTGTTCGCCTGCGATGGTGATGGTGTTGGCGTTCATCTGTCCGTCGGTCCGCTCAGCCGGCTGACCGGCTGCGTCCAATGAGCTCACTCAGCTCATTTCACCCGAATGTGTTGATGTTGTGACTTTCTGTCTGTCGGTGCCATTTGCCGTCAGCGAGGAGAGATTTCATCGTCTGGTTAGCTGCGTACGGAACGGTCTCTTTTTCGATTCTAGTGAGCGCCATCCACCGAACGGCCTCGGGTGCATGAACGAGGAAATCTGACGAACTTTTACGTACTACAGAGCTAATATCCAGCTCAGCGCCGATCGGGATAATTCGAGGAGCGTATCAGAAGATTGCTCATGCGTAACCTGAGACATTGTCGTACAAGGGCCGGACGAGCGTTTCTGACAAGGAACAGGTCTCTGCTTTTCACTGACCGCCGTGTTGAAACCCATTGCTGAGAACGCTGATGATTTCCAGAGAGATTGCAGTCACGTTGATTATATCTATCACGGAAAACAACAGCCGCAGCAATGAAGCCGATTAGAGCGGAGCGGTGTCTGCGTTCAAGTCGATTCAGATATTTTCCGGTTTAACCTCAAGCTAGTCGGATTTCCAGTGACTTCCGAAGAACGTGTCTATCATAACAACCCGACCGGCTGATGGGCGTTGACGGCGGGTGCAGAGTTTTCATGTTTCCAAACAATCCGTGCGTTGTTTGGGAAATGTTCTCTAGTGGGACTGGTTTCCTAATGACCCACAATTAGATAAGTCAGAACAGCAGAGTATGAGCACTAAGACCGTCCGAGCAGGGAATTACCAAATCCTTCTGATGAATTACCGCTCGTATTACACTCGGGAACATGATTTCAGACTCACGAGCATCGATATTCCATAGGTTGCTTTTTCTTTTCGGCATTTTCTCCGCCTAAAAACCTCCGGCCCAGCGGAACTCCGCCGCGTGGCTCCTCACGCGCTCGATGGGTTCACCACTTTTCTGACGGAGTGAGTTCTCATCTCGCGGCGCTGGCTAGTTGCTGGCTGGACGCGACGGGTCAAGCGAATTGTGAGAATATTTTCCCCCTTTCGGCTTACTCTTCAGCCGCTTTTCTCGTTGTGTTTATGCACTTACTCGGAAGCGATCGTTCGCCGGCAGAAGCCCCCACCCCGACCCCTCTTTGGATGGGCTCTAGTTTTTTCTCATTCCCCTTTCTTCATATTCTCGGAACCACGACGACGCTCCTCTGGTAGCGGTCATAGTGTCGGTGGCGCTTCCCTCCGTTGCCGTCGTCATCAACGAAAATAAAAGAACCGTCAGCCTTCAGCCGCCTCTAAGGGATGAACCAGATCATCATCTTCACCATAGTGATCATCATCGGGAAGAACCTGTGGTTATTTCGTCATTCGCCTGTCATTCTCTTGCTTGTAGAGATGACTTCCTCTGAAACTGTGATTGAAAACAACCGCATTTTGTTTCATGAGAGAGAGAAACTCCATCCGTGCGGATTCTGAACTCATTGCGTATCATGGTGCCGTCGTCTGCTGGTCTCGAGATAAATACTGAGAATAGAATCGATTGGCATCTTGTTAGAACCGCGACGGAGACAAACGGAAAGAGCTATGCTCCATACGATTTCACTTTCGAGTTTCCCTCCCCTCGAATCATTTGTTGTACTCGGTATCGTTGACGTCGATTGGGAGGCCGTGTTTCGGACGTGTACGCCATGTCGACTCATGGAAAGGAGCGATACAGTTTTTTTTCGCGACTGTTGTTGTTGTGTGCCAATCTAATCTTTAATGTTTGCCAATCGGCTCTCTTCGGCCTGGAGATCAGCTTCAATTGCTTGCTTGGTCGTTCGCTTGCTTGCTCGCTCTATCACTCGGTCGTTCGTTCGGTGTGAACAACACCCAGGAACCGGGGGCCTCCTCTCATCTGACTGACTGAGCATTCATCATAGGATGGACTTACGAACTGACTTTCGGGCGGTCGGTCGGGCGTTGTGCCGTCTGGCTCGACGCCGTGCAGTCGTAGTCAAAATTTACGAGGAGTGCGTTCGGCAGTGAAACGACTTCGAGACGACGACCTTTGTCCTGGGAATCTTCGTCTCAACTTCATAAGATCCTCTCCCTGAAACTTCTCCATGACTCCCGCGCTTCGTATCGCCATTCCTCATTTCGCGCCACAGGTTATCCCCGACTGTTCGTTAGATCGAGCTCGACTACGCTGCGCGTATTTCGTAAATACGAAGCGAGCTTTCAAGAACATGTCCCTGATTGGTGGACCTAATGAGCCTCATATCAAAGCTGAGATGTCTGCGACGAATGAGTTTCCCCGAAGATTGAGACAACAGAAACAGCGGTAATGCTCATGAGCCTATCTGTGTCTGTGGCATTTAAGTTCGAGCGTAATGATAAGTGTTGGGGCGAAGATTAGTTTGGGCCTAATCTAATCGGGACAA